CACAAATCAGTACAAAAAAATTTTAATTCAGAGGTAAGCAACCATAACATTTCAATTAAAAAAAAAGGTTTACCATTTGTAAAAAATATTTGTAATTTCCAATATTCTTCTTCTGAGAGAAACTTTAAGTCCTTTTGGCGTTCCTTTAACAGATCTTGTTTATCCAAAATCCATTGCAAACTAGAAGAAGCAAAGATTTTAAGACATGCTATAGAAAATCAACTAACAAAGTAACAGAAAACATCCTAAGATTGAACAGATTAACATCCTCAAAAGTAAAAATTACAAGAAGTAACCCTGAAAGACGGTATTTTTCACATTTCATGAAACTCTGACAGAGACTGATCTCACTAATAAATGTAAATATGCGCTGAAAAAGATTCTGCTCTAATCTTTTCTCTTCCTTCTCAGTCTCTCCCTTTCTCACTTACTAGTGTATACTATATTTCATTGATTCTAAGACTCTAATATCATGATGCATCTTACAGAGAACTGATTGGTGGTTACCAGAGGGAAAGGGGAGTGGGGAACAGCGGGGTCGGGGGTAGCCAGGGAAAGGGGCACATGTGTATGGTGATGGATGGAAACTAGACTTTTGGTAGTGAACATGATGCAGTCTATATAAAGGCTGAAATATAATAATGTACACCTGAAATTTACAATGTTATAAATCAATGTGACCTCAATAAAATAATTTTTTTATTTGTTTAATGTTCAATTTATGAAGCTCATGAATCTAATACCCAAAACTGAAAACCAATTTTTCTTGGGGCCTTTAAACGTTGACTACAAATTTATTAACCATATCGTTTTAAACAATTTAAACTAACTCCATTTATATATTTGAATGATCCCTTTCAACACTTCAAAACCTTAATTTATAAACATATAAAACAAAAATTACAGAACTTACTTCTACAGTTTCACTTAAATCTACTCTAAAGCATCAATATCATGGGTTTAATGCCTTTCTTATTTCTGTAATTGTTTTTCTGTGCTTGCTTTGATATACCCTCGGGGTTTTAGTATTACTATTTTTATTCCTTTCCTTGCGTCACAAAATTCTTAGCAGATCCCAAAGAAAAGATTACCTTATCAGAACAGCCTAGATCGATGTGACCTCAATAAAATAATTTTTTAAAAAAATTTAACAATTGTTGCCAATCCTTTTTTTCCTTCTTCTCTCCAAAGTCCCCCAGTACATAGTTGTATATTCTAGTTGTGAGTGCCTCTGGTTGTGCTATGTGGGACACCACCTTAGCATGGCCTGACGAGCAGTGCTATGTCTGTGCCCAGGATCCGAACCAGCAAAACTCTGGGCCACCGAAGCAGAATAAGGGAACTTAAGCACTCTGCCATGGGGGCAGCGGGGGCGGGGGGGGGGGGGGGGGCCTGCCTTAGCAATTTAGTTGACAGTATGTTTACTCTTTCTTGGTTATATATAAAATAACAGTGAAATTATTTGGCACAAATTGATGGTACCTTAGATTTGATGAAGCATATCTTTTCCCAGTTGTTCATAACTGGAGCATTTAATTTCCCTACTTCATAAATTCCAATCATGTTAAAAGCTGTTTCAGAATTTCTAACACTGCCTCCTCCTCCTACCTAGTCTCGTCTATTTTTAACCAGAGATATGAAATTGACATGACCCCAAAAAACTATTCTGCGCCATGCTTTTGTCACTCAGTATGTACTGGAAGTCTTTTTATGTCAACAAACTTTTTATTCAGCATCTTTTTAAATTGCTGCACAGCATTATGAATGGATCATTATTTATTTGTTAATCCCTACTGAGAGGCATGTAGGTTATCATTTTTTCACCATTACAAGTAATGCTTTAATGAATATTTTTGCATTCATTCTTGTATATTTGAGTAATAACATATTTGGAATAATTTCCTAGAAGTGGAACTGATGGATCAGTTTTGCTGATAACTTTGATATACACTGTCAGTTTGTCTTCCATAAAAGTCAAACCACTTTCCATTCCTATTAACAGTACATGAATGTATCTTAAAATATTTAACTTTATGGGTTACTGCCAATCTTTTATATACTTTACAACTTAAAGGCAAAGTAGTATCTGTGTGTGTTTCTATTGTGTTTTTAATTCTGAGGTTAAACATTTTTCCATGCCTTCATTGGCCAAATACAGTTCTTCTTTAGTACACTATAATTCTAATATGACCATTTTTCTAATGGGATGGTCATCTTTTAATAAGAGATTCTTCTGATCTAAAATTTGTATCTATGGATTATAAATCATTTCTCTGTCAAATATACTGCAAACATTTCCCAAGTTTAGCATGATCTCTCAATATTTAATTTGTAATACGGAAATCTGAATCACTTATTTACTCAAATCTACGCTTATTTTACTTTGATTTTATGCTTGTCACACATGGGAAGGCCTTCCCTGACACAAAATGATAAAAAAAAAAAACCATCCCCTTGTTTTCTAATACCTACGCTTCAAGCTTTGTTTTTTCAATTTGATCCATCTGGAACTTATTTTGGTACAGGATGTAAAGCAGGGATCCAGCTAAATTTTTTGTCAAATGGTTATCCAAATGTTGCCCAAGTATTTCCTGATGGATAATTCTATCATTATATTTGGATCTTCTTTATAATTTAACTTTTTTTCTTATTCCTATGCCATGATATTTTAAAACATATAAAATTAAGTAATTAAAATCTGGTATGGAAAATACCCACTTGCTACTATTCTTCAGAAAATTTCTGGTTCTTCTGTTACAATTATTATTCTAAGACCTAAACTTTAGAATCATTACGTCAAGTCCCAAAACAAGAAATCCATTCAAAATTTTGTTGGGATTGCATTAAATTTAAAGATCAGGGGCCAGCCCCATGGTGTAGTGGTTAAGCCCAGCAAACTCGACCTCAGCAGCCCAGGTTTGCAGGTTCATATCTCGGGCAGGGAGCTACACCACTAGTCAAACCATGTTGTGGCAGAGACTCACATACAAAATAGAGGAAGACTGGCACAGATGTTAGCTCAGGGACAATCTTTCTCAAACAAAAAAGAAAAAAAAAATTTAAAGATCAATATAGGAAGAAATACTACCTTTACAATATCAGAATTCAAACTTCATTTATTAAAGTCTATCTTCCACTACAGAATTTAAAATTTTCTTCCATTAGTTTCCATACATTTCTTAAGTTTATTCTTATTATTTCCTATTGCAATTGTAAATTATATTTTTCTATCAATCATTTAAAAGAAAGCTTTCTATTTCTACATTTTGTAACTGGTCACCTTTTTACACCTTTATTACCTCTACTAATTTTTCAATTAACTGAATTTTCTAGTTAATTTAATCTCCACATATTGATAATTTTGTCATTCTTTTTATATCTCATTCTCCTATCAATTGCACTGAGCAGCATAGTCAGAACAATGTTAAAGAGGCACCCTAATTTTCCTAATGTTTCACCAGCAAATACTTCTTGTTGATGCTTTGATTTGTTTTTATTATGTCAAGGAAGTATCCTATTTCTGTTTTAGTAAGAGCTTTAGTCAACAGATGTTGAATTTTATTAGATGTCTTTTTGGTGTCTTCATTGTTTATTAATAGATTTCCCAATATTGACTATACTTCTACAATAAAACTACCGTCACTTTTTATACTTTTAATATAATGCTGGACTCCATTTGGTAATACTTTATGATGTTTGCATCAATATTCAAAAGCAAGACTGTTTTTAGTGCTACCTCCGCTAGATTTTATCAGCTTTATCATGGCTTCATAAAGCAAACTGGAAAGCTTTCTTTCCCTCTGTGTGAACTGGAACAATTTAAATAGTAGATTCGCTTGGAAAGTGGGAAAAAATTTACCCATGAAATAACATGGGCTTAGAGCATTTTTTAAGGAGTAGCTCTATGGTAACTTTCTTAATTTGTTCTGGCTTTCAAATTTATTACCATGGAAATAACCCAAAGGTACATCTGGGTTTATTTACTTTTCTCATTCCAAATTTTGTATTTTTGTATCACTCTTTTTTACCTTGATTCAACTAGCAGTAGTTTCATCTACTGTCTGCTTTTCCCCTCCAAAGAATCAGCTCTTTATAACTTCTATTTTTTTCCTTTTAATACATTAATATCAGTGTTATTTTATTGTCGCTCTTTCTGTTTTTCTTAGGGTTATTTCACTGTTTCCTTTTTAATATTCTTAAGTAGAATATTTGATTTATTTTTATTCTTTCTCATTTATTTAAGATGTTAATTTTCTTATAAATTTGGCTTTGGCTACAATTCCATAGATATGGATATATACTGACCTCGTTATGTTATTTCCTAGATATTATATAACTGTATTTTCAGTTACCTCTTTGATACAATAAAGCATCCAGAATTGGTTTCGTAGTTTTTATTTTTGTTACCTGTTCATTAATTCACTCAACCAACGCCCTTCTAGTTTTACTCCATCATGGTCAAAGAATGAGTTGTGTTCTACTTCAACTTTATCTGGAAAATATTGTGACTCACTCTGTTCCAGAATTATTATTAATTTCATCTCTACAGTCATTTTATGTTTTTAAAAAGATAAATTTCATGTAGTATGGAGCATAAACCAAGAAGACACAAATACTGCATTTCAAGTATAAGATCACACTGATTGTAGGATTCATTTCATGTGCTACTAAGAAAAAAACTGCCACACTGACTTCAGAAATGTTAAAATGTGCAACTTAAAGCCATGAAATACAGCATGTTTCATGTCAATTTTCTCCTTTCACCAAAATCACTTAAAACAATATCTTTCATAATCTTTTTGTTTTGCTTTTCCAGAATTGATTGTCTTGTCTTTCATACTTGTTACCTTTGACAGAGCATGGATTCCATGATCCTCAAGGGATCTGAGTGGGGCAAAGTGGTCCCTACCTCCAGGACTATTTGAATTGGGTGGCAAGGCGAGTTTCAAAAAAAACATTTAGTATTATAATAACTTTATACTAGAAAAGTGAAAAAACCATTGTTTTTATAAAGTGGATCCTGCCTCCCTTTTGATAAGCCTTTTCATTAAGCCTGTAGTAAATGAAAGCATAATGAGAACGCTTATCAAAAGGCGGGCAGGATTTTTCTTTTACAAAGTTGAAAACAGCTATAACTTCTGACAATGAACAGCTAGCTACCTGTTAATTCTCTCAGCTTCTTTCAAAGTTTATCAGCATATCTCTTATCCACTACCTAAAGTGTATTTTAATCTTGCCTGAGCAAATATTTCAGAGTGAACACAGTGTAAAACAAAAATATGACCAGAAAGCTTCCATAGCATTTCCTCTCCACAGAATCACTTTATAGTAAAAGGCAAACCTGCTTTTCTAAAAATAGGTTTCCAAGCCCACTGGGTTTTTTTTTTTTCGTGCAACGGGCTACAAAAAAGATGAACAGAAATTCATCTTCACAGAACCAAAATTTAAGTTAGCTACTAATGCTCTCACTGGAAATTATTTACACTAAAGTATCATCTTCATCGGATTGTTCATCTTTCACCTGTCCAGTGGAAAGCCTAGGCAAAGTTCAACTAGTGCTTGCTTAAACAAATATATTTAGGGGAAAATGTTTTTAATATCACTCTAGCTCTTCCATGGTCACTGACAAAAACAAAAGCTTATTCATGAAAAACGTTCAAGAAATCGGCAAAGTCACCGGAAAATACTCTTTTAAGATAAAACATAAGGCAGAGACTAACAAAATGGATACACTCGGAGAGCACCTGCCCTATACCTTACCAACATAAAACCCCATCTAGGCATAAGGTAGTGGCAGACAGCGGTCAGTGAGCAGAAACAAGCCTGACTCCCTCCTCTCCTCGGAATAACATCAAATCCACTCAACATACAGGGTGAATGACAAAGGACTACGACGCCGATCCAGACGAGACCCCAGGCAAAAGAGAACCACAACTGTCCCGAAGAGCCAGCCTCACAGTCCGGAGCTGTGGCACCCTTCCCATACCTGTGCCCATCCCATCCCTCCACCCACCTCCAGGCCTAGCTAATCCGAAGTTAAACTCCCGAACCTTCCTTCCTCGCAGACGGAGCCCTCTGCCCTGACACTTCCCGCTCACGGATCCTTCCCCCATAAACTCGGCCGGGGGGCTGAGAGGGAAACTGCCAGAGAAAAGCGCATCCCGCTTCCGGCCGCCGCCGCCTCCCGAGAGACCCCGCGGCGCTCGGACAGGGGCCGGGATCCAGGCCAAGGGGAGTCGCAGGCCCCGTCCTCACCGCCCCGCAAAGAGCCAGCCCCGGGCGACAAGACGGAAGATCACACTTACTAATGGGAGCTCTGCCAAAAGTTCCCTGCCATGGAACACAGCCTGCCCTGATAAAAAAGCACCAGCCGGCGGAGTGGCCCGCGGAGCGACCATAGACCCAGCCCGCCCGGTAACCGCGCTCCTCGATCTGATCTGCTCGGCTCCGCTCCGCCGCGGCGACGGTAAGAGGAAGAGGATGGCACCGTATTCTCCTTGACGCCGGCCGGCAACACTCTACTGCGTAAACCCGTTCCTACGGAGAAAAGTTCCGCCCTCCCCGCGCCCTCCCCGCCTCCCGCGGTAGGAAAGGAAGCCGGAGGGGCGGAGACAGCTTGTGGGCGCACTGAGCTAGGAGACGAGAACTGGTGCTCCCGAAAACTCGCCGCGGTCGGGAGGCTCTCGCGAGAGCTACGCGCAGATGGCGACCTAGAGCCCGCCAGCTTCGGGCCCCTGTGGGCAGGACTGTTTCGTGGAGTGGGGATGAAATGGGAGAAGCAGCTTTATTCGTGGTTTTGTTATTCCATCTTTCAGGCCTCCACAGCAGTACTATGGCATTGAATTAAAGTACAAGGTTTTCTGACTTCAGTTCTTTCTCCTGCAATTGGAAAGAAAAATAAAGATTATTTTGGCCTCAAGGACCTACCAAAACCTACCGGCACCAACGGAATACGTTCTGAATGGGATTCTTTTGGAGTGAAGCGTAAACTTTTAGAGCAGCAGGGTTTTCTTTTAAGGCCAGAGAACCATCAGTTTTGCAAAACAGCTAGAAACATTTTCTTTATTACATGTATATGTATGTGTATACATACACACGCATATATGTTCGCGTAAATGTACTAAATAGGAACATACAGCCAAAATGCAATAGTTTAATTTTACGACGTGAAATAATCTGTATTTCCTCTTTCTGTTATCATTGTGACATTGCATTTATTGTAAAACTTCTAATTATTTTTCTAAGTAATTGGACACAGTTGAAAGTTGTTCATAGGAGATCAGTGTTCTGAAGTAGCTTAAGACCGTATTTTTCACACTGTGGGTGGAGACCAATTAGAGTCTGGTGAAACTGAGTATGATAAGCATTTTCCTAAATGAAATAAAATATCAGGTATGTCAGGAATAGCAAGGGTATTATTTAAAAATTTTATTTAGTTGTATATGCATACATATACTAGGTCAAGATGTGAAATGAATCTCGGTATCTTAACGTAAAAGTATTCTATGTCACATATCACTCCCAAAAAGTCCCATAAAGTCTGATGTGAATTAGACTGCTCTCCTTGGTGCTTGTCCTCCAGATCTTAAAGGATCTAGTATGTTTCCATGTTTCAACTACTCCGTCTTCGTTCTTTGCCTCCAGGCTTAAAATCTTTTTAGAGAGAGTGCAGAGGACTCTTGTTGGCTCTTACTCAGTGTTAAGAGACTTGGACCAGAAAGAACACAGTCACTTCCTCTCAGGACCCACTGACCAGAACAGGCACATGCCTCTAACTTAACTGCGAGGGAGGCTGAGAAATGTAGGAAGCACGTAGCATACTTGACAAATACTACTGACTCTACTCTGCAGATCACAGTCAAAAAAGTTTGAAAGACAGTAGCTTAAGAAACACGAGGCCACAGGCTACTTAACAGAGGTTCAGAATTTCTTCATCTCAGAGGTTTTTTGTCAGCCTGACACCATCCAGAAGATAACAAATTAGTGTCATTAAATGTTTTGTTGTTTGTGCTCCTATTACACTTTGTTTCTACCACGAGACTGGCGTTGTGTTTCATACCTAATTCTGCACTCTTCTTCCCACAAAACTGTGAGTCCCTTCATCTTTGTAACTCCATTAGTTCAGGGCACAACATGTGTTAGGCACAGCAGATAGGGTATTTGAACCTGAACCATATAATTGAGGTGGGAGTGGTACTTAAAGAAAAAGACTATAACACTATGGACACAAAATTGGATTGAAAATTATTTAGAATGCAAAAAGAAATCACAAAAAAATTATTAGATCCTTGAAGATTTAGGTCCCTTTTTTCTGTGAGCTCTTTTAGGCAATTTACCAGAAATGCTTCATAGAAATGATTCCTGTCTGCAACCTGGTTTCTGCTTCCCACCCAGAACTCCAAATACCCAGCAGCTCCCAGTGCTTCCAGTGGCCATGCAAGTCAGGGGCCTGAGCTTAGGCTTCATTAGTTTCAGGGTAAATCATCTCTGAGGGTACCCTATTAATGTAGGTTGAATTGAATTGATTTGAACCAGAATGAACTTTGGTTAAGGATACCTCTGGTGGAACAGAGTAATTTTAAAAAGCTGTTAAAATGCCTAGATATCCCAGCTTACCTGGATGCAAAAGATGATAAGCCATGTAGATTTGCTTCTTTTTGATGATAGTTTTTTGAACTTTTCTGTATAATATTAGGCGTATTATTTCTCAGTCCTCACTGCTCGCATAGTTTAAATTTACTGAAATCAGTCAATCTTGTCTCTTCTAATTTTTTCTTTACCTATTTTTCAATAAATTCCTGATGCTAATGTTGATTCTCCGGTGACAAGAAAGCATTGATCTTTTTTCTTACAATGCTTTCTCCGGCTGCATGAATACTATTTCTCAGAAACTAGAGGGCAAAGTTTAGTGGTTCTATCAAGCTTATTTAGCTAGTTAGTGGCAAGAGCAGCTGGAATCCAGTTCTGATTCCCAGTGCACTTTTCACCCAACTATGTAGTTTCAATAAAACTATAATGACTAAACTACTGTAAAGACATTATCCCAGGTTTGTAATTGAAGTTTTTCCTCCCAAACACTATTATTGGAGATCTTCTCACTTTTGATTAAATTGTTATTGTAATTTGCTTTGGTGCCAATAGTCTTTATTGTAAAAAAGTCTTCTCCTCTATCTAGTCATTCACTGTGCCTCCCTTTATTTTAATCAGTGGATACCTGTACTTGTTGAAGATGGCTAAACCTCTAACTTACAGTAAAACATACTAGTTAAGAACTCAGTCTCTAAACTAGACTAATCGGGTTCAAGTAATAGCTCTACCACTTACAGTTGTGTAACTGATACCGAGGAATGAGCTTGCTCTGCTCGCCGAGAAGTAAGCCAGGTAATCACAACGAATTAGAGATCGAGAAAGGAAGTTTAATTAGATTAACTGGCTAATCGGAAGATGGATGACTAATATCTCACAAACTCTTCTTCAAAAATTACAGAATCTTGAGGCAGTTATATCGGGAATATGGGCAGTAAGGAGGGAGTCCAGGGATGTTGGTCTCCAGGAGTGACGGGCTCCAGGCATCACATTGTTCCATTCTTCTGTCACCCGTGATGGATACCTTGTAGATGTGTTTCCCATTTGTGGTCCGTCTCTTCCTGGAGAGAAACTCATAGAACACAGTTTTCACTTATCTATCGGGGAGTACATACATAAGCAGAGGCCATAAATCAGGAGAGCATGGGAATTTTTTTTAGAGTGTATGCAGAGTAGCAGTAGTCACATAGAGGAGGGGCTGGGGCCATTTAGCATAACAAGATGGCCTCACTTATGCTCACTTACATAACTGTCTTAATCAGCTCAGATTACTGTAACAGAATACCATAACCTGGGTGGCTTAAACAATAGACATTTATTTCTCACAGTTCTGGAGGCTGGGAAGTCCAACATCTAGGTGCCAGCAGATGCTGCTCCTAATAAGAACTATCTTCTTGGCTTGCAGATGGCCACCTTCCAGCTGAGTCCTCACATGGAAGAGAGAGAGAATAAGGACACTTATCCCAGTATGGGGGCTCCACCTTCATGACCTCATCTGAAACTAATTAATTCCCAAAGGCCCCACCTGCACAT